GATGACGTCTATTGCTAAGATATCTCACTTGTATTTGTACACAATGATTCGAACATTCACAGTTCCTCTTTTGATCGTACCGAAATCGCAGACTCCGCGTTTTGAGAACGAAAAAGGTCAATAGAAAGATTTTAAAATACCAAAAAAAAAAATTGAATGTAAAAGGGCCCATACATGATACCAGCATGCTGGCGCCATCAAGTGTTGGTGCCAGCCGACTGACTGTGTATGTTCTTGCGGTGTGATTGTACCAGCAGATATTTTTATGTTTGTACCAGCAAGCTGGTGTCGTGAATGGTGAAATTAGCTCATATTTTTTTAAAGAAAAAATCGTTTTCGCGGAAATTTCTTGCGTTCTTGCGTTTGCCGCGTTTGTGGAAGATTAAAGTTCACAATATTGCATTTGTGCATTTAAAAAACCAATGTTTAACAAAATGGTAGAAAAATTATGAAATTTCGACTTTACTCATTTGGATCTTTTCGGGACCTAATTTGTAAAGAAATAAAGATTGTACCAGCATGCTGGTATGTTATATGCGTCGAGCTTGATAGTACAATCACTTGATGGTGTCAGCAAGACGGTGTCGTGTATTTCCCCTTAAAAAAAAAAAACAAAATATATTTGATGTAGAAAAGTTAAGAATTTAATTTTTTTTGAAAAATATTTTTTGTTTGTCTATAAATTGACAGTTTTTACTGCGATAAAATCGCACAGATGTGTGCTTACTTGCGTTTTCGAAGCAGTAACGTGTGGATGCCTTTATATTCAATGAAAGATAAATTTTCTTAGTCCAAAAGAAGCCCCGAATAGCCGATTAGGCCAAAATAATACGATATCTTTTAACAAAGATCGAATCCTTCTGATTCGTGTGGAGTTTTGCTTTGCTTTAAACACGCAAAATATTGTATTCAAAGTTCCTGTAAAATTTGTAAAAATGGACTTGGCAACTTTCCACTTTAAGCCAGCGACATGTTGAATATAGATATGGAAACCTAGAATCAGTTTTATTAAACTTTGAATTACTTATATTACACAATAATTTTTTATTTTTTTTTTTTAATTTCATACGCAAATTTTTGTACATACAAGTGTGTAGCAGTTTGTTCGAATTTATTTAGAACGGGAACATATCGAGCTCTAACCGCCAAAATAACGTAAGCGACATTTTTTTCAAAATTTTTTTTTGATGCAGAAATATTCCTAGAGTATCTAGATGTGTTTCTGCATCAAAAATAAAATTTTTAAAACAATGTCGCTTACGTCATTTTGGCGGTTAGGGCTCGATATGTACCTTTCCCTATAAAACGCATTCAAATCGTAATCGCAAAAATTTCAAAGAAACTTGATGGCTGATGTTTTATATAAAAATAACACAAACGGCAATAACGCAAAATTTTCTTTATTTCACTTTTAAATTGGAAATAGTACCAAAATCTGAGTTGGAAAATAAAACAAATTTTACCTTATTTCCCATTGCTTATTTCTGTGTTCGTATGGAAAAGTAGCTTATGTCGAAAGGCTGGCTTTAGTATAATGCGGCATTCCCTTTACTCTTTAAACGGCAAGGAATTTTTTGATGAAACTTGGTAAGAATATTGACTTGCTAGTATCGGAACTATTTCTTGCACGTTTATTTGCCAAAAGTTGTTCAACGGTTCAGCGCCAGTGAGTTATCCGCAATCGTATGCTGCGAATGCCGATTTATACTAAAGCCAGCCTTTAGACATAAGCTACTTTTCCATACGAACACAGATTTATACTATTTGTAAAAAGAAACAG